AGCAGAAATTTTAAAAAATTAAGTGCCATAATAAAGGTTTACCACAAATAACTACTATTGAATTTCTCAACGTGATCCAAGGTTACTTTATTTTTCTTTTGACACTGAACCCTCTAATCCTTATTATCTGGTAAAAGTACTTTCAAACTGCCCTCAATGTGATTCATAAACATCACACTGCTCTAGTGACATCTTTCTAATGTGAAGATTAAGAAATTAAACAAGCTCCAGATTCCTGTTTCTATGTTATAGAGGCCAAAATATTCATTCAAGAAATACTCACTTTCTCAATAGTCTCCAACTCCAATATTAGTTTTGACATTTGATAATGCAAACAACTCAAACAAGTATGGTCAACAACAAAAATTTCACAAAACTAATTAACCTCAATAATTTTCTAAACTGCTCTAAGAGTAAACAATCTAACAAGAACCTGTATCAATATAATTAGTCTTTTCTGGGCAGAGAAGCAACTATAGATTACAAAGATCCTTTCTGATATATTTCTACAATGTCTCCCACCTATCATCTTCAAGATTCTTAATCACAATAAAATATTCACAGATTATTTCAAATATCCCCAAAATATATCATCTTGACATTAATTCTCCAATGATAAAAGAACTTTACCAAAGTAAAAAAACTCAAAAGCAGTTTCAAAAAATAAACAAAAAACTTTCGTGAACTTCAGATAGAGCCCCAAACCAAACCAGTTACCCCTAAATCAATTCCAACTCATGGAGACCCTCTAGGGCAGAGGACTCCTGCCCCATCAGGTTCCAAGGCTGAAAGGAGCCCTGGCAGCACAGATTACATCAGCACTGGCTGCTAACTAGATGGCAATGGGCTTATCTCCACAGAAGCAGACTGCTCTTTCTCCTACAGAGCAGCTACTGAGGTTGAACCGACAATCCATGGTTGACATTCAAGCACTCAACCATTGTGCAACTAAGGCTCCTTTACCTGGTTTTTTTTGTTTTTTTTTAAAGACCACTGATGAGTCAATTCTGACTCACAGAGACCCTACAGGGCAGGTTGGACCTGCTCCCATAGTATTTCTGACATGGTAATCTTTACCAGAGCAGACAGCCCATCTTTCTAGAGCAGTTGGTGGGTCTGAACCATCGATATGGTGGTTAGCAGCTCGACACTTAATCTGAAGCACTACCAGAGCGTTTTCCTTTAACAAGATACTACTTATTCTTCATCAGAAGTCTGAAATCTCAGAGCTGTGAACCAAAAGAAGATAGTACACAATTTTGACTCCTAGAGTAATTTAAAAAATAGAGCACATCAATAAACATAACAAATTTAAAATACCAAAGTATATCAAAATTAAATTCTTACATTTAAACATTTTATTTAATTCCTCAAGTTGCATGAGCTACTGTGGGCCAAGAAATGTTTTGAGAATGATGAGGGCAATGAATGTACAAATGTGCTTTACACAATTGATGTATGTATGGATTGTGATGAGT